TACCGTTCTGTACTATAGATAATATAGCCTTAAAATATTAAATATGTAATTTAGTCAATTGTATATTTGCATATTGTAAGATTGCATTTTTCCTAAACAATGCATAGGGTATTATACAAATGATGGCAATCAAGGTAGAATGAGAAATTATATTACACCAACCAAGTTACTAATCCTGATTTATGATATGAATAATATTTTGCATTGTTTAGATTTAAGAATATTGACAGACTGATGGTGTTCATTCTTGTTTTGTTATTTAGGCTGATAAAGCCATTTTATGGGATGTTAATGGCAAAGTAACTGCAGAAATTCTATTGAAAAACATTTTTAAACCTAAAATTAAACAATTTTTATACCTCCAACTACAAAATTTTTCAGATTTTGTGCTGCAACATGCCAATTTTATAAAGGTAAGATGCACTATGGAGAAAATAGAGAAAAATTATGAATAACTACTGATGTATGGTGACCATCGTTTATCAGCTGGCAGACTCAAATGAGGAAACTCCCACTCGAACAACATCTGCCTAACAACATTCTCAGTAGAAAGCCATGAACACCCAGACATAAGACATAAATGACCCTACAAAAAGTGCCAGGCAAACTGGATCACATTATGACTGGCTATAAGCTGAGTGCATATACTAGTCCAGTATCTGATTTTTTTTTTAATTTACATGATATTGCACTTCAGTGGTTACAAGGCCTAGACATTGGTATTTGAACAAATCTGTTTAACATTGGTATTTTATTGTGTTTTACAAATCTAGGTGAAATGCCATGTGCTAAATAAATGTGCTTTCCCAGAATTGCCAATAAACATGATCATTTGGGAATTCTGAAACGAAATTTGCTGACTAGTCGTCATCTAAAGAAAAATCTTAAAATAACTGCTTATATATGATGAATTAATTACATTTTATTTGCAAGCTGGGTATACTACATATTATTCAAATGAACAATTGAGAAAGAAAAATAGTTTTAAAAGATAGGAATACTTTTTGCAAACCACTTGGAGATAAGAAAGTTCTGACCGCGTTTTCCGGTAATTATTTTTCAGCTTCTGTAGAAAGTGCAGAAACAAATCGAATAAGATGCTTTACAAAGTTAAGCTGTAAGGCTTACAAATTTAAGGTCAATTTCAATTCATGGAAGTGCTTTAAGAGTCACATACGGGCAGAGCAGCCAAGCCGGCAATCTGCAGACTGATTAGTTCAATACCAAAAAGGAACTACATTTATTTAATGCAGTTTAAACTACACTGCTCAAAAAAATAAAGGGAACACTTAACACAGTTTGAAATCAAACTGTCCACTTAAGTAGCAACACTGATTGACAATCAATTTCACATGCTTTTGTGCAAATGGAATAGACAACAGGTGGAAAGTATATGCAGTTAGCAAGACATCCCCAATAAAGGAGTGGTTCTGCAGGTGGTGGCCACAGACCACTTCTCAGTTCCTATACTTTCTGGCTTTCTGTCACTTTTGAATGCTGGCAGTGCTTTCACTCTAGTGGTAGCATGAGACGGCGTCTACAACCCACACAAGTGACTCAGGTAGTATAGCTCATTCAGGATGTCACATCAATGCGAGCTGTGGCAAGAAGGTTTGCTCTGTCAGCGTAGTGTCCCGAGCATGGAGGCACTACCAGGAGACAGGCCAGTACATCAGGAGACATGGAGGAGGCCGTAGGAGGGCAACATCCCAGCATCAGGACTGCTACCTCCTCCTTTGTGCAAGGAGGGACAGGAGGAGCACTGCCAGAGCCCTGCAAAATGTCCTCCAGCGGGCCACAAATATGCATTGATGCTCAAACAGTCAGAAACAAACTCCATGAGGGTGGTATGAGGGCCCGATGTCCACAGGTGGGGGTTGTGCTTACAGCTCAACACAGTGCAGGATGCTTAGCATTTGTCAGAAAATACCAAGATTGGCAAATTCGCCACTGACGCCCTGTGCTCTTCACAGATGAAAGCAGGTTCACACTGAGCATATGTGACAGATGTGACAGGGTCTG